CCCCCCCCGCTCTCGTCTCTCTGTCTTTCTCTCTGTGTTCTCTTCGTGCTCTGTCTCGTCTGTCTCGTCCGTCTTGCCTGTCTGTCTGTCTTGTCTGTCTGGTCTCATCCCTTGTTCTCCTTCTTCGTCGCTGTATTTCGTTTTGGCGGTGTGGTGGGCACACGCGTGGCATGCCACTCGCTAACGCCACGTGTTGTCGTTTCCTTTGATGTCACCGAAAAACAGCTCGTCGAGCGCCTTCCCACGATGCAGTACCAGGAAAGCTCTCGGAAAGTTCTAGTGGCGGAGCATGGCGAGGAGGATAAGGTGGGAGACATGCCACTGCAGTGCAGAAACACCTTCCTCCGGAGGGAACTTTCCATCAAAATGTATGCAACGATCCTTCGGCCATGGATACCCCCGTCCACAACCAAGTACCTTCACTTTCTTCCGAGTTGGTGAACTGTGAGCATGCAGGCTTCTAAGTGTGCCGAGAGTGAAATGCGAATTGTGAAAAAAGCGACGGTGGAGGGCGGAGTCTATGGCACCGCACGTCATTCCACAGTGTTACGACAACCCCGCAATGTGGGTATTGATATGGACGGCGGCCCATGTGCCTGTTTGTCGCTCTTCACTGACGCGCCTTCATTGATTACCACAGAGTAGTTGTCAGGGCTGTTTTCCAAGGTTCTTGGTGCCAACAATGGTATGCCCGAGAACATTGACCTGTGAACACGACGATCACATCACCCGCTCGTACTGGTGCCAATGTGTGGCGCGTCTCGCTGCCCCCAGGTGTCCTGCCGGGTGTGTCTGAGCGACTACGAGGCAGGGGACACGCTTCGCATCCTTCCTTGCCTGCATAAGGTACAAGTCTTGGTTGTCGTTGTCGTGAAACACAGCGGCTAATTTTTCTGCTTTGTTTTAGCCATTCGCATAATATCTTGCTTGCACTGGCATCAGTCTTGGTTGTTTGCTGCTGTCATGAAACACGTGCTGTCAAAGGCATATTGTGATACATCTTTTTTTGCGATTGGCATCCTCCCTTGCCTGCATGAAAAGGGTAGTCTGGTTGTTGCCGTTATGAAGCACAAATGCACTTTTTTGACCATCGTGCCAACGAGGTGTGCCATTTCCTCGCATTCTAAGCACGGCGGTGTAAATAACAGTTTGCTCGACCCATTCTACCCGTGGTGGTTCGACTGCCACACGCCATGACGAATCAGTTGTTTGACTCCAAGAGGCACGATATTGCTAGAACCGTCGAGTGATGATCACGACCCAAGGAACGTGTATAGGCATGGCAGGGTAGACATCAAGAAGTAGGCACACAGTGAAACGGAGCCAAGCAAGGAGTTGAACGTCGTGTTTTTCTTGTTTTTGGTTCCACGGCGGCAGCGCATCGTGCATCGTGCTTTTAAGTACAGTTGTTATCTGTGAGAGAAGTTTCAGCCGCTTAGTCTAGTCTGATCCTTGTGGTAAACATCCTGGCAGTGAGTGAATTCACTTCCGGACAGCCACAGCATCATGTGCAACACACCCGAGTTAATTGGCGCCCGTGTTGTACCCAAACACGAATCTCCCATGGCCCTTCTCCCCCACTTTCAGGCCTCTCCTGTAAAACCTGTGGCTGTAAAACCTGTGCCAATGATTGCCGCATAAGGGTTTTGTCAACGATTGCGCGCGCTCTCGTCTCGTCTCGTCTCGGTACCTGCGTGCTTTTTTTTTTTTGGCCGTTAGTTTCACCGGGTGTGCATCGACGAGTGGCTCGGCAGGTCGGTGCTGTGCCCGCTCTGCAACACCTCGGTCGAAGTGGCGGAAGACTCGCACGTGACCTGCTGCGGATCCTCGTCGTCGTCGGAAACGTCGGAGACGTCGGCATCAGCAGCTTCGACCTTCTCGAGGGGCTAAGATTGTTTTCTTTTGCGTGGAATGCCGATAGACGTAGAGTCGTTACAAGTACCTTGCGTGTGACCCCCCCCTCCCCCCCCCGCCCCCCGTTTGCCAGCAGTGCCGTCCCCAGTTGATCCAGCTAATACCGTAGTCGACACCAGATACCCCGTGGTAGACGGATTTTCAACGCTCGATTTGCTCCACGACGAAGAGGATTTGGAAACCATACGTTGTCGGGAAAGCTCTCTCTCGACTAGTCGGCTTCAACGCCGCCGCTTTCGGCGCTGCTACTCTTTCTGCTGTGGAGAAGCCGAGAATATCGATCCCCGGGATGTGATACATACCACATGTCATCTACGGTAGCCATTGGGCTAACATTTACCCTTGGCGGGTAGTGGTGGAGCCGATGTGGGCGGCGAGCAACTGTTTTTTTTCTTTTTTGGGCGTGGGCGGCATTTTTTTTTACGCGCCAAGTCTCGTCGGTTGTCTCCTTGGTGTTTTTACCCGTGAGTCGCAATGGCATTGCCTGTGGGCGACGAGTGGCAAGCGAAGTTTGCCTCCTGCCTTTGCACGTCGCGACAACAATGCATGGAATCCAGTGGTCCGCCATCACGCTCCCCCCCGGGGGCAAGGGCGTGCGTGTTTGTTTGTTGCCACGCCAACTGGCCGGCTGCTTGGTTTCATCGTTAGATGGCTGGGGCGAGCTGTTGTTGCTTGCTGGAAGCGAAGCATGCGCAGCCAGTGCAGCCAGTCAGTGTTCAGGTACGTCAGGTCATTGGAAGTGGTCGCTCAAGCTTTCGATGGCCTGCTTCCTCGATTCGTTTCCAACGTCGTAGGAAATAGGTATATTCCTTTTTATCGTGCGTGTCCTAGTCGCTGCTCCGTGGGTGGGCTGTTTGTCCCAGCGTTTGTGCGGCAACGTGAACCTCACGCCCAGAGTGAGGCATTTTCTTCTGAACAGGTATTATGTTATCTGTATGCCTTGTGTGTTTGTGTGTTTGTTTCATGTTCTTGGTGGGTACAGTCTTTCCTCGACGGAACGTACTGCATATTGTGTATGTTTCCTCAAGCGCTCAACTGCTGGTCTACCGATTGCGTTTCGATACCACACGCGTGTTCTTTTTTTTTGTGTTGGTGGAATGCTGCGTCTACCAAAATACACTAATTCTACATAGTTTGGACGTTTTCGTCACGCGAAAAATTACGGCGCACGAGGGGTGTGACCGTTTTCGTTTTTTTGCTTGATTCCATCTCTCACGGTGACGCCAAGTAGAGGGAGTTGTCCTCGGGAGACGTCGGGGAGGTAGATTCTACCCCTCACGAAGCGGATCTCCATATCGATTGCCTCTCGAGAATAACCATCATCTCAGAAGCTGGGAGTGTGTGCATGTGCACCCGCGCGATTAAGTAGGTGGCGTCTCAGCGGATCGAGCAGCAACTCTCAAGCACCCATTGTCCACGACGGACGTTGAACGTTCCCAGGACGAGTCGGCTTCTTCAATTTCTGATCTCGGTCTGTGCCCCCCCCCCCCGCGGAGCATGTATGTGCCGCCGAAAAAGCCGAGGTAGTCACCCATGAGCAAGACATGCTCCTGAACGCGAAGATCTCTGAGACGCCGGTCTCTCGGTCCGTGTTGAACGTCTTCGAGACCTACCCTGACGCCACCGAGCGGAACGAACGTCCGCGGGACGCGAAAAAGCTCCTCAGTTTCATTTCGATGCGGCGGGGTGGGGTGAGCCCACCCGTTATGAATACAGTGTCTTGGTGAATCATTCACGTCATGCAACCGTCATCCGACCTTGTATTTCGGGCGGTTTTTCGAGCACTCATGTATTTCGCATTGGTTCGTCAGCGGAGCGTGCAAACCGGCGTAATCGTTGCATTAACCGCGAGGTGTGCTGCACTTCCAAGCCCCTCTCGTGAGATCGTCCGCCGATACTCACATACTAGTGCTAACTTCTGGTTCAGGCTCATGCTTGAAAAAGGCGGCATTTTTTGCTTCTCCTGCGCACAACTCTTCTCGTGTGTCGAGAGCAAAAAGGCTGCGATGCAAAGAGCATTTTGCTCGGAGAATACGGTGAAGCGAAAAACCGTATTGAAGTCATTACAAAAAAACGTTTCCATCCAGCGAAAATTAACCAGTCAATAAACCTTCTACAAAACGCGAAGGCTACATACAAGGCAGCAGGAAGGGCACTTGCACAGGCACAGCGCCTTTTGTTTCGATCGACACACGATAGAAACCACGCCTTCTGGGACTTAATTTGCAAAGGGCAGCGTTCCCGCCCGACACACGTGTACAATTGTCTCAGCAAGACCTCTGAGGGGGCCAGAAATCGGCTAGCGGTCTTGGAACAGGCTGTCCTGCCCATCTTGCCTCGCCGTCGATCGCACGGGATGCAAGGTCCCGTGTTCGCACCGCAATATACCCGAATAGCACACCAAAAACGCTGGCGCCAAAACAGAATACAAGTTGCATCCAAGTTGATGAAAATTCTCATGATGCTTTCCACCACACATGGTTCAACACCACAAAGAAATAAGGGCTCAAGCTACATATTTAATAAAAATACACTCGCCATGTAAATTTGCGACGTTTTCTCCCCAACCCCCACGTGTCTTGTCACCTGCAGTGCGCGCATGAAAGCCTGAATTTTCCAAGCAGTCCTCGCCACATTTACCCTCCGCTCCCATAGCTTGCTCTCTTGCAAGGAACCCAAAATTCATTTTCCCAAACGCGCATGCAACGCTACCAGGGCTGCAATATGCCAATTCGCACACAAAGTCCCCAACCGCAAAGCAACAATAAAAGAAGTAACAAAAAAAGACAGATCTAGAAAGTATGCGAAGATGCCAAAAAAGCCCAATCTACGTCTGGTCCCTAGAGTCCCCGCGGAAGATATGCCCCCCCCCCCTCTTTCCATCTCCACAACAATCCGCGGATCCCAGAAAATTTTCCGCGGAGTCAGGCTACCGCACGGCGTCCATTCTCGTTGCACAACTATAACGCAATGGACAACACGAGCAGACGTTGACATCCTGGTGGTAGCCTGGTCGAGTGAGCGCATGAGTCAGCAATAACTGGCGGACGAAAAGTCTCGTTCTCTCTGCGCTCGCCGCACCATTACGCTGCGCGCACAACCAGCCACGTTACACGTTGAATCAACTTTGTCCGATGTCTTCGGATGATCCCGCTCCGCAACCCTAAGGTCTCAACTCCCTGTCGAACAGAGAACCTTCAGTCCGGGGCGACGCACACGGCGTTTCATCTGCAGTGGCGAATACATTTCAACTGCTACCTAACGCACGCGCGACGGAGACCAGCCCTTCGTATACCCACAGGACAAGCGTGTGTTCCTTAACTACACCGAGACAGGAGCGCGGAATACTAAAAACCTTGCCGGGATTCGAACTCCCAACCCGGCCGGCAGGTACTTAAGGCCTTCGAGTTATACCGCCCACCTACCGAGGGCGCACATCGTTGCAGCACTAGGTGTGAGGATGACAAAGAAACGACGCTGGCAGACAAAAAAGCGCCTTGCAAGCAAAGCGCAGACACACAAGACGCACACGACACATATCCATCCCATCTCCTCCGCGTCCCCCCCTTCCGGGGGAGGCCGGACGACTTAAGAAAGCATCTATAAGGCTGACGACGTCGTTCGAGTGGCCATTGTGTAATTTACTGCCGTCGACGTCAATGTAACAAGCACGGCAAAAAAATCACACACATAAAACGCACCACAGCCGAAACGCCATCCCCCCGGGACGCATCCCGACAAAAAAAATCGCGTTCGTTTCCCGAAAGACAAGTCACACACGCGCGCGCGGTTTCTTTCCTGTAGAACATCTGTGCTTCGAGGTTTGGTCTTATTTTCTCCCTCCAAACGACGGCAGAGACACGCTCAACGTCGAGCCCGAATATCGTCGGCGTCCCGCGGGCCTCCCAGCCCACGTCTACAGCAATAGCACGTATCATCCACGAAATGAAAAAACACCTGTCGCCCACACATACCCCGCTTTCCAGGGAACAAGCGAACGAGTGCTCCATACAAACGCGCGGACCAGCACACACACCCCAACATCCTAACAAATACAGGCATGCAAAACATGTGTGACAACGCCACCCATACAAACGCGCGCACCAGCACACACACCCCAATATCCTAACAAATACAGGCATGCAAAACATGTGTGACAACGCCCCCCCAGCTTCAGAACGAGTAGTAACACTTGAGACAGTCACCTGAAGACCCCTCGTGCTATACACGCCGTGATCCTAGACACCAAGGGCAGCCAGCAACATCGAACGAGAGCATCTACAACCGTAGGGGAGAAAAACATCAGCAGCGGTGCCGCAAGCGCCCTGCTTGATCCCTCGCACACAACAGCAACTCTTCCACCCTCCACCCGCCCGCCCGGGGTATTGCACTCGGCAACAACAAGGACCACCAGCACCAGGCGGCAACACAAAGCTACATCTGGACGTAAAAACAAAAATTCAGAAGAGGATTAGCCGCGGAGCCAACCACCCGTTGGGTCGGATACCAACACCGATTGTGCTCTAAACGAGGTCAGCCCAAGGAACGAAGCGTCGCTCACGGCTGGCCCAACGAGCATCAACAGACTTCGCTGCGCAACCGGGTCTCCAACAATGAGTGGGGACTACATACCATGGTCATAAACGTGGTAAAGAGTGTAGCACAAAACGCGCTCAGTAAAAAAACTAGCAAAAACTGGTGCGGCGGAAAATGCAGTCAACATCGACCAGCCGGTATTCCAAGGAAATATTTTCCGCGAACGACACATCTGGACAAGAACAAAAAGAACGCCCGTCTCCACACCACCGAGCCAACCATCCCGGGGCGACAAAGACCACCAACAAACAGGAGAAAAGAGAGAAGATGTTCCTTCCCAACGCCGACAAGAGGGCCAGAATCTAAAACCCCAAGCTTGCCTCAGATTGCTTGCGTGGTCCTTCGAAAAACCGGGAAGGCATCCTCTCATCCGTCGGCTTTGAACAGCAGCACCGCCACCTGGACGATGCCGAAAAAACACAACACACCCACACACGCGCAAACGCAAAATAGACATGGCAGAAATGGGGTACGCGAGCCAGGA